CCCCAGGGAAGGTAGCAACATAGTTATCTACTTAAATTATTCTGACCTTCCAAGGTCAAGTCCTGTTAGCCCTTCCTAATCCAAAAATAATTAGCGGATAACGGACCCCAGCTTGTTGAGACAGAGAGTTATTTGTAGAAAATTTCTTGACTGGAGCAAATGATTTTGCAGGAATCACTAGCCCTAATAGATTATCCCAGGCTCTTGCCACCTGCTTTCCTGAGCCCCCTGTCATCTCTGACAGTAAAAGGGCAGGCAGGTCACAATGTCGAGCCTAGAGATACAAAGTTGCCAGCACATTGTCACTGGTGATGGTTAGGCCTATGCACCAACCATACGGAAAGGGGACAGGATGGATGGTCACACATCTTCCCAGAAGGTAAACAGGAGCATTCATTAATAAGACAGGCAGGCTTGTCCCAAACTCAAATACAATGCCAGCTCTGAGAAGCATTTCACCATTTGTTAGCTGACAATTGCAAAGGGAAGAAAAAAAAAAACCCCAGAAACAACCATAACAGTCTCTCATGGCCCAAGAGCTCCTGCAGAATACTTGGGAGTGTATGGCAGCTGATGCTAGGACTGAACAGAATTTGGTGTCATGTGGCAGTGCTGAGTGCCTGAGGCACAGTGTTCAAATCAATATTTGTCTCAGGGAACAGGAGCAGGGCCCAAAGAGAGGTCACTTTAGAGCAGTGGTTCTCAAACTTGAGTGTGCATTAGAATCATCTAGAGGGCTTGCTAAGGAAGAGATTCCTGAACCCCACCCTCAGAGTTCTTGATTCAGTAGACGTGGGGTGGGGACTTCAGAATTTGAGTTTCTAATCAGTTTCCAGATAAGGCTGTTCTTCTGGTCCAGGAACCATACTTTTGAGAACACTACCTTAGAAAAGAGAGTTCACAGGAAAGGCAAGTAGGGAAGAAGCCAGCATCAGCTATAACCAACATATGCCAAGTGTTCCTACCTTATAAGGGTGGTCTCATTCAATGCTCCCAATAAAAGTGAAAGCAGGCTTTATAAATCCCATTCTGTAAATGAGGAAACTGAGGTACAGAAAGGTGAAGTGACCTGGTCAAGATCAACATAGCCAGGGAGGGATAGAGCCTGGATCAGAATCCAGGTTTTCAGGACTTTAAGACCACTTGTCTTTCCAAGAAAAAGCTCCAGCCTGAACAGGTGAATCTCAGGAAGACCCACTGGCTCCAGAGCCCACTCTGTCTTCAGGAAAATGCCTGTTCACAACTTTCCCCAGGATACAACAAGTCAATCACTTCCACACATCTTTATTATCCACATCAAATACATCTAAGATGAAATGCACCGAGGAATGCAGCATCCCCTGCCCTGCCACCACCACTCAGAGATCATCCCAGAGCCAGTACAGCGAGGCAGAACTCCATGCAACTCAGATTTGGACTCTGCTGGGGTTCTTGACAGGTAATGTGCTACATTGTTGACCGACAGGCTCCAATAATTTATTCATCTAAAGTGCCGATTTAGGAAGACTTCAGATTTACAAGTGGTTTTGGTACAAAGGACTTCTGATCTAAAGATGAGATTTCAAGTCCATAGTAAGTACTTATTTTCCAGACATAAATTCCCATAATTTACCTTAATTTTAATCTCTTTACCTGAAAAAAAACCAGCTATTCATGCCAGCTACATTGCCTCACAGGATTCCTGAGAGCATAAAGTGACGTGGTGCAAATATGTATATTTTGATGAGTTGTTTGCTGCCATAACAATAAAAAGTATTGTGAATCATGAGTGATGGTAAATACAGGCTAATAAGAAAGGAACTTGCAAATAGGTGTTCTTCATTAGGGACTTCATCCTGGCTTCTCTACTTTGTGATTTGCATTCTGTCAAGACATTAGCTTTCTGGCTATGGTTTCTTCTTCTGAGATATGGAGATGCCTATATTCTGAGATATGGAGATACCGTATTCTGAGATACGGAGAGACCTCACAGTAGAGTGTGTGTGACACACTTTCAGATGGTAGAATTTGTAGGGGATATTTCAATGGTCTTAAATACTCAAACAAATTAGCAATAATTACACCTAAACACAGTCTATATTGGGGTCTTGCTGATCACCAGCCTTCCCTTTACCACTGCCTCATTTCTCGAGGCCCATTATGACTATGGCCTCTTAGAGTCTGCCAAGACAAAGCTCCAAGACCCATGTCGTCCTCCTCTATTGATGGATCAACTTGCAAACAGAAAGTTTAACAGTGTTCTACAACTCATCCTTCAATGGGCTGTACTCAAAGTTCTGTGCACAGACGCCTCCATAACAGTGGTGCCTCAGGGTAAAAATTAATTTTCCATCCTGATCAAAACGTTGGAGCACACCTGGAAGAGCTTATCATATACCATGATGTGTGGATCACTGACTAGTATGGCGTAGCGAGACAGACTTTTGATCCTTGTGGGGTAGTGACGCACTCTTCCTGGGCCACTGAGCTCTAAAATTTTAATCATAGTATGTAGATGATAATACCTACCGCTACTCAACTCCCAGGGTTGAGAAAGATATAAAAAGATAGGATGGAAGTGAAATTAAACAGAGGACCATACTATAAATAACAGCATGGCATGAGCTAATACCACAAATATAATCACTGCTCTTAGGGTCACACAAGAGCACAGTACAGTGATTAAGAGTCTTGTAGCTAAAGTTGGGTGTGGTGACTCATGCCTTAATCCCAGTACTTTGGGAGGCTGAGGCAGGTGGATCACTTGAGGTCAGGAGTTGGAGACCAGCCTGGCCAACATGGTGAAACCCCGTCTCTACTAAACATACAAAAATTAGCCAGGCATGGTGGTGGGCGCCTGTAGTCCCAGCTACTTGGGAGGCTGAGGCAGGAGAATCACTTGAACCCAAAAGGCAGAGGCTGCAGTGAGCCAAGTTAGTGGCTCCGCACTCCAGCCTGAGTGACAGCAAGTGAGACTCCACATCTCAAAAGAAAAAAAAAGAAAAAAGAATGTTGGGCTAAAATAAAAGCACTGCACCTATATATGAGGTTTCAAATCCCCCCCTTCCACTTACTAGATGTATGCCTTTGGGTAAATGACTCAACCTTCCCAGGCCTCAGGTTACTGGACCATGAAAGTGTTAATTGAGTTAACACAAGGAAAGCATTGAGAACAGTGAAAGGAGCACTGTAAGGGTTCAATCAAGGGTGAACTGCTGTTAGCATCACCATCCCCATCAGCAACATCCTTACTCTGTTCTTTCTTACTATAGTACTACAATCTCCCTTCTGTGTTCTCTACCTGCACTGAACCTTCCCATCCTCCTCCAGCAAGAGACAAAGCAACATCGATGACATGTAGGTGGGTGGGTCAGTCCTCCCTTGATGAAAATCCCACAATTTCATTATCATGTGTATTTTTTTTAAATTGAGGTTTTAATTCACATATCATAAAATTTACCATTTTAAAGCGTACAATTCAGTGGTTCTTAGTATGCTTATAAGGTTGTAGAACCATCGCTACAATCTAATTCTAGAACTTTTTTAAATTTTTAAAAATTTTAATCAACAGATAAAAGGTATACAGATTTACAATGTACAATATGTTTTGAAATATGTACACATTGTGAAATGGCTAAACCAAGCTAAACAACATGCATTACCTCACGTATTTATCTTTTGTGTGTGTGTGTGTGGCAAGAACACTTAAACTCTACTATACTCTTAACAATTTGCAAGTACACAGTGTTGTTAACTACAGTCACCATGTTGTAAAAGAGATGTCTTAATCCTCTTCCTAGTGTCTAAGTGAAATTTTGTGCCCTTTGATCAACATCTCCCCAGTCTTCTCCACCACCACCCCCAGTCCCTGGTAACCGCCACTCTGCTCTCTGCTCTATGAGTGTGACTTCCTTAGATCCCACATAGAAGTGAAGTCATGCAGTACTTGCCTCCTTCTGCCTGGCTTATTTCTCTTACATAATATCTTCCAGGTTCATCCACCGCATATGTATTTTCTAAAGCACCAACCAACTTCTCTATTGGTTTTTAGACATATTTCCAAATTTCCACTTTTAATTAATTAGGTAATTAATGAATTTTCACAAACAAATTCCATTAGAATGAGAAACACCACAGTGTAGAGTAAGAACGTGGTCACTTAAGCGAGACTCTGGTTCAGATCCTGGTTCCAGCAGTTATTAGGATACGGCCTTGGCCAAGTTACTTAACCTCCCTATGCCTCCATTTCCTTATCTGTAAAATGGCTATAATAGTGATTCTTAGTTCAGAGGGTTATCCTGTGCTAGGAAGGACTGAACAGAATTCAGTGTTATGGGCAGTGCTAGGCGCTGGAGGCACAGTGTTCAAATCCGTGTTTATCCCAGCTCAATATCTGGGAACAGAAGCAGGGCCCAAAGAGAGGTTACTTTAGAGAAGTGGTTCTCAAACTTGAGTGGGCATTAGAATCATCTGGAGGGCTTGTTAAGAATAAATTGCTCAATCCCACCCCCAGAGAGACAGACCTGTGGTGTTTTTTTCTTTTTTCTTCCCTTTGAAGTTTTCTGCCAACAAACGTTGAAACGCTTCTCAGAGCTGGCCACATACCCGAGTTTGGGACAAGTCTACCTGTCTTTAATGGATGCTCCTGTTTAGTGAGGCCTGAGTGACTTCATGTATGTATGGTGCTGAGAACAGCCGTTGGCATGTGGTAAGCACTCACTAAGTCCTAAATACTTTATTATTAGATGCTTCTCCTGATGCTTCAAAGACAGTGATAAATAAAAGACTCTGATGACTGCTGAAAAAGAAAAGAGCAGTCCCACACCGTGTGAGCCAGATATGGTTCTTCCTCTAACATGCTGTAGCACATGGAAAAGCCCTTTCCCTCTGAGTCTTGGTTAAGAAACAAACTCCATTAACACCTGAGGTGCATACAATTCTTTTACTCAGTCAGCCCCCTTTGCACATCCTCAACTCTCAGTGACAAATTAAAATTCTCCTTCTATCTGAAACCCACGAACCTGAGTGCTCCTGACGGTTGTGTGCCATGCAGACATCCTGGTTCCATGGGAGGCACGTAGAAACACAGTTCCAGCCAGTCCTCAGGAAACCATGGAACACAGCCACAACCATTGAGGGCCCCGGCAACCAAACACTAGAATGCAATCAACACAGTGTCCTGAGGTTTTGCTTATAGACAGATGGGGGGACAAGAGGCTCATTCTCATCCACGTGCCTATTTTATATATGCTAATTAGTAACAGCAGAAAGCGTAATAACTTTGAGTCTTGGGTCTTAGGGTAAAGAATAGAAAATGATTAACAAACAGAAAATGAGTTTCCAAGTTCTACCTTCAATAGGACGTGTGGATATAATATACCCCTGTCTGATTTGGGCTTCTCTATCTCTCTGAATCATGGTGGTGCTACTGTTGACACAGCACTCTGATTCCTTCATTCATCCATCATGCATCCATCAAACATGGAATCTAGCAGAAGTCAGGCAGTGATCCACTGGGTTAAAACAGCAACATAAGGTTCAATATGACTTCCTGTCCTCTTTCTCTTGCTTTCACCCTCCTGAACACAAGGGAGTCCATTCAATACTAAAGGGCACTTATTCCGCCCTCACTAAACATATATTTATTGAGGAAGCAAAGTGCATTAACAATAAAGATACATAACTTTCATGGAATACTTCAGATATACAAGGCTGAGCACTTACATGCACTCTTATTATTTTAAGAATATGCTGGCCTTTTCCCATCATATTCCTGTTTTACAGTGAGGAAAGCTAAGCTGGGAAACAATTAAGTAGCTTCTGCAAGCTGTCATCACTGGAGGTGCTGCAGTTGAGGGCTGAACCCAGTTCTCTCTGAAATCAGAGTCAGGCTCCTAACCAGATCCTGAACTGCTTCCAGACACCAGTCAGGTGGAAAGAACACATGCTCTAAGTCAGATCAGCTGGCATTAGAGTATCTCCTAATTGTGTGACTTCAGGCCAGTTTTCTGGTCCATGAAATGGCATTAAAGAAGAGAGTTGTGAGAATTTAAGGAGATGCGCACTTGGAATCCCTATGAGTAGTTCACCAACCCAATGATTGGTGGCTAATACTAGAAGTAGTCTAAGGGCCCAACTCTGTAGGTAGGCAGTGTGGCTTCAAATTTTCCTTAAAAAATAATTATGCAAACTCAAATATGCCAGACAAAAAATAGTACATGTATGAATATATAGATAAATTGTGGAGAATGAAAACACGTGAGGAAACAGAAAGCAGTCAGTATTGTGAGAATGGGGTGGGGATAGAGAGTAGGAGGAAGGGGTGGGAGGGCAGGATGATGAAGGGCCAAGGAATGTTTTGAAAGTGATGGATGTTTCGTAACCTTGATTGTGGTAACAGTTTGATAAGGTATACACATAAATTTGAGTCAAGATGTCTCAAAATGTAGACTTTAAAAATGTACAATTCATTGCATATCAATTCTACCTCCAAAAAGCTGTTCTTAAAAAAGCATTTCTGGCGCATGAGCAAGTAGTCTCTGTTGAAGGTGGAGCCAGTGTTAGCTACATTAGCTCAGTGTGGCCATCCTCACCATGGTACAATACCCAGAGCTGGACATGAGGCTGCCAAGCTACCTTTTTGGCAAATTTCTCTTTTCTTTCCTTGTTCATCACGAAGCAGGAGATGACCTGGCAGTGAGTGTGGGAGGCAGGTGGGCTCTTGGTAAGCCAGGAAGATTAGCAAACATGATTGGACCATCTATTGAAGTCCTGGACAGCATAATAAGGAGAGGCTTTGGTTAAAGAAAGGGCTTTAATTATTCTTGGTCTTAGCTGAACACCGGTGTTGGCAATTCTGTTTAATTAAGGTCATTTTTGTCACTTGAGTCACTGGGCACCTTTCAAAGGATCAACCACACTAAGTGGCAATGAAGACCCCAGAATATTACAGTTGCCACAACAAAGGCAATTGTTAACACAAATCAGAAATTAAAAATATTTCTCACTTGCAGGTATATCACAATGAGAATCAGTAATGCCAATACTGATTTTTGCTTGTGCAATTCAAAACTTAGCCTTTATGTAGTTTGAAAATTTACTTTTACTTGGTATTTGAAAGCAAGAAACACCTATACATGATAATAACTGAGATTAGTAATAATAGAGGCCAATGTTTTCTGAAGATTTATCATATGCCAGGTACTTCCTAAGTGCTTTGTGGATCCATTTGACCCACACAGCAAACCTATTAGGGAGATTGCCATCAAAATCCCCCTTTTAGAGATGAGGATGTAGAGGCACAGAAAGTTCGATAACTTGGTCAGATGCGGTGGCTCATGCCTATAATCCTAGCACTTTGGGAGGCCAAGGTGGGCAGATCACTTGAGATCAGAAGTTCAAGACTAGCCTGGCCAACACGGTGAAATCCCATCTCCACTAAAAAAAATCCAAAAATTAGCTGGGTGTGGTGGTGTGTGCCTGTAATCCCAGCTGCTCTGGTAGTTGAGGCATGAGAAGCGCCTGATCTTGGGAGGTGGGGGTCGCAGTGAGGCAAAATAGTGCCACTGCACTCCAGCTGAGACGACAGGGTGAGACTTCTCTCAAAAGAAACAAAAAAAAGAAACTTCAATGACTTGACTGAAACCACATGATGAAATGTAGCATTTTAACTACTAACAACAGCTGTTGTTTCTTTAGCTCCTAGTATGTACCAGAACATTGCGAAGCACTATATGTATTTTCTTTTTTAAAATGGGCATTAAAGCCACAACATGAACTAGGTACAATTATTCTCGACTTACAAATGCAGAAATCGAAGCTTTGAAATATTAAGTAATTTACCCAAGGTCTCACAGTTAAATAGCAGTAGAGCCAAATTTTAGTGCCAGATTCATCTAATTCCAAATCCATGAACTACTCAGGAGAGCACGTGGTTTTACATCCCCTTTGGTATGTTCCTCTTCTCCTCACCCCAAGTCAGTAAGTTCCATTATTCACACATGACGACAGACACAAAAAGGCTGAAGAAGACAAAACATTTGCTTAATTTCACTTGCATGTTTTAGAGTCAGTTATTTTTAAAACCCGGGGAATGTAATCTTGCTCATAGGAAATGCTTTGGAAGGCAATAAAGTAGATTAAATTAAAGTGTGGTTTGATGGTGATGATTTAGCAAACTGCGGTGGTGTTAGTAAAAATGAAATAGAAGATCTCTTTGCACATTATCTCCCTAAAGAGCATCACATAGGAAACACTCTTTGCACATAAAATAATGAGAATATATACATATAATAAACATAAACTACAATATATGAAAATATGCTTCTTCCATAAACTCTGTCTGCCAAACCTCCAATAAGGTGGAAGGATATTAAAATATGAGCTGGAAAAAAATGACAAGGGTTATAAGCAGCTTCTAGCTTCGGTTTGAAAATAAAACCAACTCATTAACATTTTCTCCCTTCTGAGTGTCTATGCACTGTACATTTAGAAATCACCCACCCTGTGACAGAGTAAGGGATGCAGATTTGAAGGAATGGTGCTGCCCTCAAGGAAAATTCGCAGTGTAGCAGCGAAGAGAAACAGGGTCTTAGAGCAAGAGAATTAAATAGAACGTAATGAAGCCTCTCAAAACCTTCTTACAATATTTAGAATAAAAGCCAGAATGCTGGACATCCTCCTGCTCTCAGCCCTGGCGCACTAAGTCTAGAGACTCATCTCTCGCCACTCTCACTATATTCCAGGAACGGGCTTCTCTTAATCCCTCAATCACCAAACTTTCTCCTTTGCATTGGCTGTTCTGTCTACCTGGAATGCCCCCCTCCATCCATATCCTGACTTCTCTCTCTTTCTTCCTCTCTCCCTCCCCTCTCCCTCTCTATCACACACACACACACACACACACACACACACACACACGCATTAACTTTTCCTGGGAGAGTAAAGGAAGGATTCCAGAGGAAGTGACATGTAAGCTGAAATCTGAAGGGGGAGATCAGATGATTAGGTGTTTCAAAGGAGAGAAAAAGGAAAGGCAAGACAGAAAGAGGACCAGCAGGTGAAAAAGCACAGCGCATTAGGAGTACAGAAGGAAATGTGGAGCACTGAGTGTGTCTCGTGTGGAATAAGACAAAAAGCACAAGTTGGGGGCCCAGATTCCAAAGTCAGGGTCTTGCCTATCAAGGTCAGCAGCTTGCAATCAGAGGTATGCATCATTGGAAGCCCCAGGGCACTGGTCTTATAAACATTTGTTTTTAAAGAAAAAACCTCTGGGCCCGGCATGGTGGCTCATGCCTATAATCCCAGCAATTTGAGAGGCCCAGGAGGGTGGATCACCTGAGGTCAGGAGTTCGAGACCAGGCTGACCAACATGGAGAAACCCCATTTCTACTAAAATGCAAAATTAGCCAGGTGTGGTGGCGCATGCCTGTAACCCCAGCTACTCGGGAGGCTGAGGCAGGAGAATCACTTGAATTCAGAAGATGGAGGTTGCGGTGAGCCAAGACTGCATCATTGCACTCCAGCCTGGGCAACAAGAGAGGAACTCTACCTCAAAAAAATAATTAAAAATAAAAAGTACAGAAGCAGAATGCTTGTGGCTTCATTAAGAAAAAACCTCTGGGAACTGCATAGAGGAGAGTCTAGAATTTTTCAGACAGGAAACTGAGGCTGGGGGAAGGGAAAAGACTTGTGTCACAGCATGTGACTCCACATCAACTCCACACCTGAAGGCTCTGGTAAGTGTCTTTATTACCTTGTTAAGGAGTCCACTCTGAAATTGAATTAAAAGAATAGGCTTCCTGCAGCTTTTAATAACTTCTCTTATTAAAGAAAAATTTCTAATTAATAATGTATTTTAAAAAGGAAGATCAACTAGTAGGCACCTTAAAAAACCCACACAGGGACTTCAGCAAGGGTAGCAGGGCTGTCTCTCCCAGAGGCAAGACCACATGCGGCCTGTGCCAGAGAGGTGCAAACAGCTGGAGAGAAGCGGTGCTTTGTCACCTTTACTTAAAGGGCTTCTTGGGAGGTGGCAGCTGGCTTTCCTACTGATGAAAACTGTATCACACTGGGGCAAATGTAACCATAGTCATGACAACTATGAGAAAGGAAGAGGACCGCGGGCTATGCATGGGTCATTTCTTCTAAGTCTTC